GCAAATTGTGCAAAGACAGCAAATCCTCAAAATATGGTCAACCTCAATTATGTCTGATGAACTCTGTCTGAAACAACCAGGATGAACCCTTCCTCCCTTGGATTTCTTCATGTGTCTAGAAGCCTGTGCAGATGTGCTGACTGAGTGTCGTTTGAACAAATAAAACTAGAAAATATTTGCAGTTTGCATAATCTGATTAAATTCCCTGTAGGCCAAGCTGAACCCGAATTCGGAAATAACTTTTTTTTGTTTCTTTGTTTTTTTTTTTTTACAAATACCTATTTCGAACAAATACTTTAAAAATATTTGTATTCCGGAACAAGAAAAACATCTCATCAAAAAGCTGCGTTTCTTTTTGAGAACGCAGTGCTTGCCCAGATGAGTGAGCGAGTGATGTTCAGGAGTTTGGGGAGGGGAGAGAGTAAAAGAGTCTAACTGACACAGGCTGCGCAACACCAGGGGTCCTTTCACGTAGCAGGTTTAGTGGAAACTCCGAGTTTGTTAACCCTGAAATCAGGGAAACTCTGAGTTTTCCGTTTCACAAAGGAGGGTTAGTTAAACCAGGGAGAGAGGGGTAACTCTAACCTGTTTCACAAAGAGAGGTAACTCAACCTCGCGGTCAGTTACCGCAGTAACAGACTCCGTGAACCTAACCTGCTCGGGAGCAGGTTTAACTCAGTAAACCCAGAGTTTCAGGTGAGACATCGGCATTTTCTCATTTTGATCATGTTTTACATTGTCAAGTAAGTATTAAGTGGCAGTTTGATCCCTTTAAAAAAGCTGTTTTCACACTCAAAACTGAATTTTACTCTCTTATTATGTTCCGTTAAATGATTAGGAATATTAAACTAACACAAAAACGGGTGGTGGTCCAGCAGCCCCACCTTTAACGGAGGCAGAGGAGCTGCCCCCCACCCCCCCCGTTCGACGATCGCGGCCGGTCCGATCGCAAATCCCCCCCCACAGACACACACACACGCACGCACACCAGTCCGACGATCGCTGCTACGAGGTGGGGGTTTCGATCGTCGGGGGGGGGGGGGGGGGTGCTGGGCCACCACCCGTTTTTTCTGGCATCTGCCCTCTTTCTGTTTGCTGAGTGAAAGTCTAATATTGAGTGTAGTGTGTGTTAGTTTAATATATGTACATATACATACTGAGAGTTAGTTTAATATTCCTAATCACTTAACGGAACATCATAAGAGAGTAAAATTCATTTTTTTGAGTGTGAAAAGAGCATTTTCTAAGGGATCAAACTGCCACTGAATACTTACTTGACAATGTAAAACATGATCAAAATGATTCAAGCAGTTTCCCTGCAACAGTCTGTCATTGTGATTGCACGAGACTAGATTTAAAGTTACGCATTGACGCGAGCAGCGATTTCCTCCCAAGCCCTCTCCCTCTCCTTTGCAGCTGCTGCTGTATTGCACTTTCTTTTACAAACGTGCTGTAATTCGCTGTTGGCTTGCTGCTGCCCCCTCCTTCTCCCTGTTTCCATTGGTTGATCATTGAATCTGCGCTCCACAGATGCTGGCTGTTTATGTCTGGCGTGCACGTGCTTAACTCCAGGTCAAACTACTCGGAGTTGTTAAAACCGTCTCAAATCAGGTATTGTGAAACCGGAAACTCAGAGTTTCCTAACTCAGAGTAGATCAACTCAGAGTTAAGGATTTAACTCAGAGTTTGTTGAACCACCTACGTGAAACGGACCCCAGAGGTGTCAGGTAATGAAAAACAAATACTTTCTTCCTTGTTTTTCAATGTTGGATTTATGGAAAAACATCAACCAATATTGCATATCCATAATTATTATAATGGATAATTACAGAAGATTTACACTTACATAACATAAATAAGAAGTGCAACACCACAAAAAAAAAAAAAGATTTTTACACTCATTTTGAATTTTACTTAGATACAAATACTTCTTCCCCCTCAACAAATACAAATACAAACACCAACTGCTTCGCGCACCCCTAGTGTGTGTGTGTGTGTGTGTGTGTGTGTGTGTGTGTGTGTGTGTGTGTGTGTGTGTGTGTGTGTGTGTCAGCTTGACAGATCTTTTGAAGGTTTTCATGGTTTTCAATGATAACACAGTCAAAAACTGTTTTTATCTTTGGGCAGGTTACAGGAAAACAACTCCAGTTAAGAGTTAAGTTAAGAGGTGACTGAGATGTTTGTGTCAAAGGTGAGAGCCAGAGTGAAGGTGGACTTGAGCTTCTCCAAAGCTGTGTCTGATGTGGTGTTACAGGGACTTCATTTGCTCTGTACAGGAGGAGAAACTGGTTTTCAGTCTTTGTTTTAAGATGTAGAAAAGTTCAACTGATACTCAGTGTTCATTGTCTTTTTCTCTTTCCTCTGTAAATATTCATAACTAACTGTGAATAAAGTTTGCCCCTTAAATCAAAATCTCTCTCTCTGTATATCTAAATATAAACTGACACAAGTGAGAGAAAGAGACACACAACCTGCCACCTGTCTTTTTCTTGTCATTTACAGAAAACCTGATCCAGCTGCAGGACTCACATATGGGACCTGTAACACTTTTGAGTGACCACATCATGGAAATCCTGCAGACCACATGAATTCATGACACAGACAGACCGGTAACATGAGATCCAGCAGAAACAGACCAAATAAAGAAAAACAGGCGAGGTGATTTCAGTGACTCAGTTTGATGTTTTTTATTGTTTTCACCCACAATCAGAGACTTCACCACAATCTGAGCTGAGTCAGAAACATCAAAACAGTCGGACTAATGAATGTGATTATTATTAAAGTGATTGAAAAGCTCATAACTACATGTTGATCTGCCAAAAGTGTTGTTATCGATGTCTTTACAAACAGACTGATCCAACAGAAGCAGACAGAAATATCCATCGATGACATGAATACAAATATTCAGCAAACAGAGAAAGCACAGATCGTTTCAAGTGTTTTGGGGACGACTGGAAAGACTTTAGACAGTAGGAAATAAATAAGGTTGTGCTTTTTCATCTTTATTTGGTTATTTTGACATCATTTTATTCCTTAAGTCTCAGACCTTCAAAAATCTGCTCAAACTTAAGGTGATTTGAACAACTGATCATCCTAATGTTGTTGCTATTAAACTTTTGTGAAATCTTTTCAAAATGAGAAATGCAAACAATGAAAGTTATCCACAATCATTGTCCTTAAAGCTGCGACCAAATCAGCATCTTTAGAAAAGAATGAGATTTAGAAAAAGCTGAAATAAAGAACTTAACAGAGTTTTTAGTGAAACTAATCCACAAACATTTACAAACCAAAACATTTCAAGAGTTCAGTGATTGCATTACATGTTTTTGCTCTGACAGACTCAAAACTCTTTTAAAAACTGTTTAATTCAGTTCATTAAACTCAGCAGAGTCTCCATAATAACGGTCAAGTCCAGCATGCAGTAGCTGAGTGAATGTGGTCTGGACTCTGTGGAGGAAAGTCATGGTTTCAGAGACGCTGTAAAAGGACAGAACACCTGCTCTGTGCTCCAGGTACACTCCTACCCTGGAATACTGACGACATGAGACAGGAGTGCTAAATTTGTTGTGCACAACTTCATAACTGTCTTTGTCACAGTCCAACATCCACGATTTGTCATTTATTTCAAATAAATAATCCTGTGAATCCCCTGAGGCCTGTACTACAAAGCTGGATTTGATCTTAGCAAGATAACTTTATGGATAACTTCTGGGTTTTCTGTACGATGAAGGTGGATTTCTTTTTATGCCCCCGTTAACTTACGCAGAATTCCAAACCGGCTCCGGAGCAGGTCATGTTTTAGGATAAGATCTCAGCAGGTATAAAAGACCGCCCACTGACCAATTGGATCTCTTGGAAAATGGCTTTCCCACTTTTGCCAGATCCCATGGACATCAGTGCACGGATAGTGAGAGGAGCGCTTCGCCGGGAGCGTTATATATGGGATTGTTCAAATCCACCAAGGCAGTGTGGGAAATCACTGTTTACATGCTGAAATACATACAAATAAATTCTAACAATAAACCTACTAACTACTTCGAAGGATTTTTTTTTAGATTTTATTTTTATTTGCTCCCACGTACTCTGAAATAATGAGGTCACTGATGATGGTGATCACACGCTGCGTGACAACAAATTAGGGGACCATAATTTCATGAAAGCACAAATGTACTTTACACAATCTGCGATTTTTTGCCAGTAGTCCTTCCGGCTTCTAGCGGCTATTTTAGTCTTGCTTCTCGCTGCTCTAATGTCACAGTACTTCTCGTATTTGTGTAAAATAATGCTCTGTTCCTTGGCTGCGAAATATGATGCACAGCCTTCTGCATTGTGGAGATTGGTCTGGTGGCACTGACCCTGCCCCCTTTACGTGTGTGCACACAGACAGTCACACAAGACTGGCCACAACTGGATACAGTTATTGAGTTGATATCCTGCCTCAAGTACAGTTGATTGAAATTATAGAGATTGGGTGAAGTTGAGCGAGTTGTGGCAGAGTTATCCTGGGTGTGTTAATCCAGCTTCGTAGTACAGGCCTCTACTCTGCTGATAGTCTTGTATGCGAATGCCACACAAACCCAGTCCCCTCTCCACTCCACCTCCCAGTTATAATGTCCAGTCAGTCTCTCTCTACTCAGGACCTGAATCATATAAAGAGTGAATCTGTCTGGGTGATCAGGATAAGACTGCCTTTGTTTTGAAACTGTTGCTCTTCTGTTTCCTTTGGATAACAGCTCACTGTTTGCTGTGTCTGGATCTTTTTGAGTATCTTAAGAAACCAGATTTGGTCTTGGGTTCTGGTTCTGGTGATTCAGAACCAGGCGAAGTCAGGTCATAGAGTCCAGGCAGACTCTCTCCACTCAGGACCTTGGGCTGGTCACCATCAGTGAATCTATATGGGTGATCAGGATAAGACTTTTGTTGTTTTGAAACTATTGCCCTTCTGTTTCCTTTAGATAACAGCTCTCTGTTTGCTGTGATTGGATCCAGCGTGGTTCTTTTTGGGTATCTTAAGAAACCAGATTTGGTCTTGGGTTCTGGTTCTGGTGATTCAGAACCAGGCGAAGTCAGGTCAGAGAGTCCAGGCAGACTGTCTCCGCTCAGGACCTCGGGCTGGTCATCATCAGTGAATCTGTCTGGGTGATCAAGATAAGACTGACTTTGTTTTGAAACTGTTGCTCCTCTGTTTCCTTTAGATAACAGCTCTCTGTTTGCTGTGATTGGATCCAGCGTGGTTCTTTTTGGGTATCTTAAGAAACCAGCTCTGGTCTTGGGTTCTGGTTCTGGTGATTCAGAACCAGACGAACTCAGCTCAGAGATTTCAGACGGACTCTCTCTGCTCAGGACCTTGAGGTAGTAATGATCAGTGAATCTGTCTTGGTGATCAGGATAAGACTGTCGTTGTTTTGAAACTGTTCCCCTTCTTTTTCCTTTAGATAACAGCTGTCTGTGTGCTGTGTTTGGATCCAGTGTGATTCTTTCTGAATATCTTAAGAAACCAGCTCTGGTCTTGGGTTCTGATGGTTCTGACAGTAAAACATCCACTTCAGTCACTGCCTGTGAGACATTTGTCCATGTCTCTGTCAGAAGATCCTGGAGTTTATCTCTGACTGCTGACACTGCTGCTGTCACCTCCGCAAAATATCTCAGAGAACGAATGTTGATCCTGGATGAGTCTGCAGGTTTTACCGGTCCTGACAGTGAAGAGTAGCTGTGCAGAAACTGGTTGTGGTCCTCTGTGAGTGAGAGCTTCTGCAGATCAGTGTCTTTTCTCTTCAGCTCAGTGATCTCCTGCTCCAGCTCATCCTGAATCTCTTTGACTCGACTCACTTCACGTTCCTGTTGGGATCTGACCTGCTGCTCTACCTCAGAGCGGCGTTTCTCCATGACACGGATCAGCTGGCTGAAGATCTCCTGGCTGTGCTCCACTGCTTTATCAGCAGAGCCGTTGATAGCCTCCACCTTCTGTTGGAGCAGCTTCACATCTTCCTCTCTGTCCTGGACTCTCTGCTGGATGTTTTCTCGACTCTCCTCCAGATCTTTCTGCCTCTCAGTCCTTTCTGCTGCAGCTGAGACTGTGTCATGGCCTTTGTGTTGGTCCACAGAGCAGAGGTAACAGATAGACTGCTGATCAGTGCGGCAGAACATCTTCATCACCTCATCATGACGAGAGCAGATGTTCTCCTGGAGCTCCTTGGAGGGCTCCACCAGCTTGTGTTTCTTAAATGAAGGTGATTCAAAATGAGGCTGGAGGTGAATCTGGCAGTAAGAAACCAGACATTGCAGACAGGACTTGACAGCTTTCAGTTTTCTCCCACTGCAGAAATCACAGGCCACATCTTCAGGTCCAGCATCAGAGGGATCATCAGGAGCAGCTTGGAGTCTGCTCTTCTTCAGATCCTCCACTAAACTTGCTAAGATGGTGTTTTTCTTCAGGACAGGCCTCGGTATGAAGGTCTGCCTGCACTGAGGACAGCTGTAGATCTTCTTCTCATCCTCAGTATCCCAGTAGGTTTGAATACAGCTCATGCAGAAGCTGTGTCCACAGTTAACAGTCACCGGATCATTCAGTAGATCCAAACAGATGGAACAAGAGAGAGATTCACAGTCCAGCTGAACTCCTTTCTGCGCCATTTCAACACTAGCTGTCAACTGACTGACTGAGTTTCATTTCCTAAGAAGGTAAACCAGTCTGAGCTCTGATCTCAACAACATCAGGATCAGCTCAGCACACGCTGGTTACTCCGTGCTCAACTGTAGATCTGAAGAGGAGGGAACAAGGAAGTGAGCGTGCAGAGTGGAGTGTGCTGTGTGAGAGACGAGGGAGGGGAAATGCAGCTCTTGTGTAATCCAGTAAGAGGAGCAGCGATGTGAACTTTTGACTCTCAAATTCCAACAAGTTGAGGTTATTAATGCTGCAGCGGTCCTGAAGATCAACTGCACCAACATTTATTCACCTCATATCAACATTGACGGATCACAGAAACAATTACACTGTTTTATCCTGATATCCACACTTATTTAAATATACACCACATATAAACTCTCTCTCTCTGGCTTGTTGACCTCTGAGGGAAGTTTTTCTCACTTGTTTTCTTTCTTTGTGTTGTTTGGTTTGTGCTCGTTGTTTATTCTTCGTTTACCCTTCTCATAACCTTTTCTCAAATCTGTGTCTCATCTTTCTCTGCTGTCCAGAGAGGTGATCTTCTCCAATGTACCCAGCTGAGCCATCTGGTCTCTCACAGATGTTAGGTCTAGATAATCCTAGGTCTAGTGTTGTTGGAGACGGCGTAGTTTAAGGAGAAGGAAATGAAAACTCACAACAATAACCTGCATAATAAACAAGATTAATAAAAAATAGACAGTGATATTTTGGCTTATTTCCCACTACGGAGCCCTGTGGATTTTCACAATAAGGGCAACATGTTTTGGCGTAAGATGCCGCCAAATGCCATGATCAAGGTAAGTCACATGACTTTTGTTGTGGACATTACACCCCTCCGACCAAACAATGTTTTAAATGCTAAAATGTCATGAATGTGCCATGCTGTCAGCTTCGGAAGACACCGTAGTTTGCCTTAGTTTTTTGTTGTGAACTTGGCAGATAGCTAACAGATGATCTCCAATGAACAGGTGAGTCAGCAGTTGAGTTTTCAGCCTGTTTACTGTTGATGAACTGTGAAACTGCAACATGAAAATAAACAATAAAATGTCACATGTTGTTTAACTCAATAATCTAATACTATACAAATCCACATAAAGAACATTAATTTTTATTTAACAACACCAGCAAATAATCGCAGATTAGCCTAATGCTAAAGTTATATTGGAAATGCCATTGACAGGCTGGCGCGTTAGCATCGCTCTTTTTTTTTTTTTTTTTTTTTCAAGTTTTCCCACATGAATTATGAACTGTTTTTGAAATTTTAACACGTGAGTTCAACACAGTAACAACAATAAATGCATATGTTTGATGTACACCTTGGTAGTGTGTGGTCCGTGTTTATAAATGCATGCAGTAAATTACCAGCAATATCTTTGTGCTGACTACGGCATCTCCAACAACACGCATCGTCTGAATAGCTGTGTTGTGCTGAATTGCATTTCACTCCATACACACTGAAATAGGAAATATCCCCCAAACCAAGTATTTTATTTTTATGAGGTGAGCAATGACAATGAATTGCACGGACCCTCTGAAGCATTACTGTCATGACACCAATCCTGTTTGGCTGGTGAAATTTTTTGTCCGCCTTGGGTAGTCCCACGACCATAAGTATCTTATGTGGATGGCACCACCTCATTTAAACACCTCTTCTCACTCGGAGCATATCTCGCGTCCAGGGCTAGCTAGCTAAACTGTCGCCGGTGCTGCAACCTTGGTTATTTTTCTGTTTCGTTGGTCACATCAGATCAATTCCAGTGCTCCCGAACCCCTCCACGGCTTGGTTAGCACTGTTCTCGCAGCCCCAACACAGTTTTTCAAGCACAAAGCATTAGCACACCAGCTAATTCTATGCTCACCAGTTAACTGTCTCGATTCCCCACCGGTACACCAGTCCGAGAAGAATGGAGGCTACTATCCCTCACAACAGGGGGCATGGAGACTCTGGAGCCAGGCTCTGTAGCTGTGGGAATAAGACTTTGAGCAGGGATCCACACCAGGTCAGGCTCGGGCTGCCTGGGGTTGAAACATGCCCAGGGGCTCCCAGCTCGACCGTGGCTCCCCAGCAGGAGGAAGATGTCCTAGAATTGGGCAATGGGGCGGCTCAGAACTTCTCAAATCAGAGGATGAAGAAGAGGACAACATCTTCATCACTCCAGCCCGGGCTGCGCAACCTGAGGCCTTCGCCCGGGACGAGTGTAGCATAGTAGCTTCTCCTCTTCCTAGCTCAGATATACTCCATGTGTGCAAATGCGCTGCTGTCCGGCTAGCCATCCCCTGGCCCGCTGTCATAGTTGAGAACACCAGATCCCGCTATGAAGGGAAGAAATTGCTCTTGGCCAAGGGCCAAGGACTTCTTCCCAGAGCAGCTGGATGAGGTGGTGCACTCATGGAGAGACTGCCCGTTCAGCAGTAGGAGCCTGGTTCCCAGGACCTCATCCCTCAACTGCAAGGTGATGGAGAGCCTGGGCCTACTCCACATGCCCTCGATGGAGCCACTCGTTGCAGTGTACCTTCACACACCTGGGCTCTGTGTCACTGGCAAACCCAGTCCTTTTTGACCAACAGGGTGCCCATGGGCTCTGTAATGTCTAGAAAGGTGGTCACTGTGGACATCTTGTTGACTGACAGGTTGGGGCCGAGTTCACGAGGGCCCACTGGGGTGTGGACCTCCAGCGGTCTCACATACATTTTCTGGAACTTTTACCTGTGTTCCTCTCTCTGAAACACTTCCTCCCGTCTCTCATGGGTCACCATGTCCTGGTGAGAATGGACACTATGACAGTGGTGGCATATATCAACCGTCAAGGGGGATTCCACTCCCGTCAGTTAAGAATAAGAATAATAAAAATAAGAATAACTTTATTAATCCTTGAAGGGAAATTAAATTGTCTGTTGTCTCACATAATATGTCTCTAAAAGTTATCTACTATTTACGCAAGAGTTATAAAGTCTGATGGCTGTTGGTACAAAAGATCTTCTGAATCTTTCTGTCCTGCAGCAAAGAGAGAGGAACCATCCACCCCCATTGGCCCTTTGGTCCATCAAGGTGTTGTAAGTGGGTGATCCATGTTCTTTAGAATAGACTCCACCTTCCTCAGTGTAGATCTCTCCACCACATCCTCCACTGAGTCCAGCTTGAGTCCTACCACAGAGCTAGCCTTTTTCACCAGTTTGTTAAGACGTCTTGCATCTTTGTGTTTGATGCTTCCTCCCTAGCAGACTGCAGCGTAGAACAGAACACTTGCCACCACAGACTGATAAAACATCTGCAGCATCTTACATGACCTGTGTCAAGTTTTAAATCATGAAGACCAAGTCTAGGTCAAGTTAAGCCTTTTATCAGTGTTCGTCAAGCAAGTCTCAAGTCCACAAATTAACAACTCAAGTATGACTTGAGTCAAGTCATGTGACTCAAGTCACCCACCTCTGCTTTACTGTAATATGGTCCTCCTCTGGTCTAGTGCTGCCAGACATGACCTGCCACTCTAAATCTCATGCACAGTGACAGACCTCTATGTATCCACATACGGTAAGGTAAGATAGGAAGATCTTTATTGATCTCTGAAGGAAAATTGGCCCACTCTCATCCTGCATGCATGTAGCCTGTGCATGTGAGGTGATGTTATTAGGTGTGTACACACTGCTATATATATATATATATATGTGTATATATATATATATATATATATATATATATATATATATATATATATATATATATATATATATATATACATGTATATATATATATATGTATGTATGTATACGTGAATATTCATGTCATCCCAGTTCCATCGAGAAAGACTCATAACGATAAAACTACTCACTAATTGTTGGTTTGTGTGTTATACAGTTAACTAACAGCCTACCATGTGTTCTTGTCACAGCTGAAACAAACTTTTTACATTTTATATTAACAGTTTGAAAACTGCTGTGGTTATTGTATAATGTGTATAGAGTGAATTGTTTCTGAAATCTCTGTTTGATTTAAAAGTGGACCTACTGTAGGTGACTTTTTTTGTTAATCTGACACTGCAAATTTACAGACAGGTGCTGACAGCCACACATTTGGATGGGAGTTGTCACTGTCTGCTGGACATTGGATGTGATTGTTCTGGACTTCTACTTTAACTCCACCCCTAGGTGACAAGAACTAAATCTGTTCATAAACTCTGCTTATATCACTTAGAGGTTCCTACTTTTATCTGATGGATAGAGTTAAGCACTGCCAGGGTGAGAGAGCTCTGCAACACAGTCTCAGGGCTCTATTTTCGTTCGCGCCGGTGAGGCGGTGGAGGGCGGCGAGCCCCGCGCAGTTGTATTTTCGTCTGGCGGAGCCCGGCGTAAGGCGAGTTTGGTATTTTCGTGGCATGAGTCGCACGGAGGCGAGCCGAGATCCGCCAAGCTGGGCGTGGTGGCGTGGCAGGGGGAGGTGTCGACAGAATCAGCTGGCGCAGTGACATTTTTGTGCTCGCCAACGGCGTGTAAAGTGCGCTGAAAGCTCGCCGATTCAAACCTGGTCAGCTTTCAGCGCAAGGCGGAGCGCAGCTGGTCTAGTAGTATTTTGGTAGACCGGCGGCGTATCGACATACGTCACTGATGCCTCACCGGCAGGTTTCCACAGTGTCAGGCAGATTTCAGTGCAATAAATAATCATCATCAACTATTAATCTGAGTCAGCACATACATTTAGATCTATATCGATATATTCTGATCTATATCTGATCTGATGAGCGCGTTTGGCACGCGTTTGGACACACAACCTGACCGAATCAACACAGCTGAAACCGCATCAAATTAAATTAAATATCTAGTAAATATACACACATGATGAAGTTAACAAGATATGTAATTCGTCTCCCTCCTTTTCTTTCTTCCTCTTATTTCTCGCACAGCTCGACCTGGACACGTCTCCGTGTCCTCTGTCCGTCTTGCTGCTGCTGCTGCAGCTGAACAGATGATTTGTTTCAGTGCTCAGATGCGTGATCTACTTTAAGCCGACATACGGATATTATAATATTCAGTTTTGTGAGCCAAATTTATTTTATATGCCAACATCTATGAAAGAAAGAGCCAGGCCACGGAGCGCGATGCGTCATTTTCGCACAGATGGTTCCGATTTTAATGCCATTTTTGGAGTTTATGTTGTGATCCGTGCGCTCAACCCACCTTTGTCACGTGAGGTTTGAATATGAGCAACTTTATGTGAGTGTCTTTATTTGTGGAAACGGGTGTTTGTCTTACCAGTGGGTCCAACATTACGCACACTAAATCCATCTGTGCTCAGATGAGAGAGTGTGGAGGACACTTGTTGAGGAGCTGCCCTCTGTCGCCATCTTGTGGCATTACTGTCTTAAGACATCTCTTGATCTCTTTGACTACTCCATGAAAATAGTAATACGCCTCGCCTGTGGCGGATTTAAAGGCAAGGAGAGGAGCCTATGTGATTGGTGAAAACAGGTCTCGGCTGTGTTAAACCAACTACACGCCCTTTCTACGACTTATGGTGCTGGGAGGAGCTGAGTTAGGGAGGGGGGATACTTACGCCGGGCTGCGCGGCTCACCAAAATACCAAAATGTGCTTGGGAACGCCTTGTCAGCGCGGCGGATCTGACTGACGCTGCGCTTGCGGCACGTCTCCGGCGAGGCACCAAAATAGAGCCCTCAGTCTCTTGTCTCAGTTACAAGAAACACAACACGAGCGCAAACTGCTCAGAGCTGCAGATCTTTGTGGGTGTTTTTGTGGTTGAATATCATTATTCAACATCATTATAATCATTCCTAACTCCAGATGGGAACAAAATCTGCCTCTGGTCTTGACTGGTGTTCATTTTTGTCCAAGAGTTTAGAAAAGAAGATGGTCTCATCCCAAAATGTACTCCATGGGCACGTTTGAACAGAAAGTGAGTCCAGTGTAACAGCACTGAACAGTTGGTGCAGCAGCAGAGATGCCGTCATGTAAACAGGACTGTCTTCCTATAAGGTTTGTGATTGTTGAGGCTGCAACTACAGATATCTTTTATATAAAGCCGCAGTTACATCATTCAGTGTGTAACACTTTTAGAAAAAAGTGTCCTCAAGATCCCTGACTTCTTCTGCACTGTGTGTAAATATCTGTGTGGAGGCTGATATAGTCGTCTAAGTCTGTGAGCACTTCAGATAAAAAAATAAAGCGTAAGTGCGCTACAGCTGGCTGTCCCATATCAGCTGCGGCTCAGGACGTAGGATTGGTTGTCTCCCAATAAGAAGGTCAGGGGTTTAATCCCAGGTCCTGCTGTCCACATACTTCAGTGTCCTATAGCAAGACACTTGACCCCAACTGCCCCCGCTGGCTGCACTCAGTGTCATGTAATTGAAAAACTGATGGACTCTGTACTTAGCAGCCTCTATCATCACTGTGTGAATTTTGTGTGAATAAGTGGATGTGAAGAGCTTTGAGTGATCAGAAGACGAGACAAAGACACATTAACTCAGTAATTAACAGACAAATGACAGATGGTATAAAGAGACTGCTTATATTAGAGGGATACAGCTTTGAAATGTAACATGTAATTACTGAAGCTGAATTTATTGAATGAAATAAAAGGTTGGCAGCAGTTTCAACATGTTCCTGAACAGAGCAGACATGTTCATAAGGAGAAGGATTGTGTGTTTAGGCTGCGGAGCAAAGTGCTTTGGGGATCTGAAGGGCTTTGCGAGTGAAGAGAAGGACTTTAAATGAGTCTTATGTGGGTTTAGGAGGTGGTGGAGTTTTTAGGACGGGAGTGAGGTGGTAATGATGCTGCAGTTCAATCTGAATGTGAGAGTAAAGATCATTTCAGCAACAGAAGGTAAAAACAGGCTATCAGGCAGCCATAGCAGGAGAAAGGAGAGCAGGGAGAGGAGCAGGAGGACAGAGGGCAGCCTTTTTATTGTTTCTCATTGTTTGAGCTTAACATTTTTTGTCTCACTTTGGGTAAACCTCTCGCTCCTGCAGGACTCTAATAGTTTACAGCAGTAAGAATAAGTAGAAATATGTCCTGCTCCATCACAGCAGTATCAGTCCGCCCGTCAGACATGAAAGGGGGGAATTGTTTTAGTCCTGAGAAACCTCCTCACAGCTTCAGCTTTGTGCTGAATCAATACTGAAACAAAACTTTGTGTTTGTTAAGCATATGTGCTCTCTGTGTTTTACATGCTTTCCCTATGACTTATCTAAAAATCTTACTGTAGTTCAGACAGGTTATGAAAGTCAAGCTCAGCTCACATATGATATTTTCATGGAGACAGCAGCCTGATGAG